AGGAACATTTTCTGTTTTTTCATTTATGGCCTCATGAATGAGTACTCGTATTATAGCTCGGATCTAAAAATATAGAAATTCATCTTTAAATAAACATACATATTTACTTCTTCTAACATATGCACACTTCCGGATGGTTACACAAATATGCCGAGTTTCCTTGACGCAGTTGCCTTTTTATCTGTTGCACGGTTCTATAATGATTTATTGATTTGGTATCCCAATTACTCTTATAACTCATTTTGGTTTATTAATACATCGACAATTATTAAAAGTTTCGAAATTAAATGATCATGTTTGAACAAGTTTTCACTGAAAAAACAATTTACTTATAAAGAAAAGAACTATATTCTTTCACAGATGAATTTATTTAAGGTTGTAACAATACAAAAATATTGCACCTATAAAATATATGGCAGCTGTGAGAAGTACAAAATATGATTATAAATTTGAATTTAAATTTTGACTGCCTTATAAGTTTTTTATAATCGTAGATCAAAACAAGTAAGGTTAGTGAAGTTGGGTAAAAATTTATTACTCTCGCATGTTTCAACGATCAAAGGCTGGAAATACTTTTAGGTGTTGGCAAACATTCTATTAAAAAATGTTACGTAAAATGAACAGGCACTATTCGAAGAAGCCAAAAGGATGACAATCAAATTTGGTATCTTATGAACTACATATTGCTTGTCCGAAATATTATATTATAATCAAGTAAATTATCTAATGAGATATATGTGATATATACTCAATCAAATGGACTAAATTTTAGATATGGATTAGAGGATCGTAATCAATGGGATATGAAGTTTAGACCAAGATCTAGATAATTTTTTGATCGATTTCACATATTCAATCTTCAAAACTGCAAGAATATTTGCGCAAAGATTGAAAAAGAGCTTAAAAGTATTTGAATAAATTCTTAGAAAATGGGGAAGATTTATAAATCACTTAAGAAACGCACTTTACTTTCTGCGCTTAATAATATCTTCTCTTTTATTGAATATGTGAAATCGATCAAAAAATTATCTAGATCTTGGTCTAAACTTCATATCCCTATTGATTTACGATCCTCCTAATCCATATCTAAAATTTAGTCCATTTGATTGAGTATATATCACATATATCTCATTTGAGATAATTTACTTGATTATAATATAAATATTTCGGACAAGCAATATGTAGTTCATAAGATACCAAATTTGATTGTAGTCCTTTTGGCTTCTTCGAATAGTGCCTGTTCATTTTTTACGTAACATTTTTTTAATAGAATGTTTAGCCAACACCTAAAAGTATTTCCCAGCCTTTGATCGTTGAAACATGCGAGAGTATAAAATTTTCGGTTTACCCAACTTAGCCTAACCTTACTTGTTTTGATCTACGATTATAAAAAACTTATAAGGCAGTCAAAATTTAAATTCAAATTTATAAATCATATTTTTGTACTTCTCACAGCTGCCATATATTTTATAGGTGCAATATTTTTTGTATTGTTACAACCTTAAATAAATTCATCTGTGAAAGAATTATAGTTCTTTTCTTTATAAGTAAATTGTTTTTTCAGTGAAAACTTGTTCAAACATGATCATTTAATTTCGAAACTTTTAATAATTGTCGATGTATTAATAAACCAAAATGAGTTATAAGAGTAATTGGGATACCAAATCAATAAATCATTATAGAACCGTGCAACAGATAAAAAGGCAACGCATCAAGGAAACTCGGCATATTTATTATGACTCATCGGAGATATTATATGTTAGAAAAGTAAATATGTATATTTATTTAAAGATGAATTTCTATATTTTAGATCGAGCTATAATAAGTACTCATTCATGAGATAATATGAAAAACAGAAAATGTTCTAAATTGTGCCAATTTATTCAGTTTAGAATGCCCTCGTTTGACGATAATGTGATGATATTGTATTAGGGATGCTAAGCACATTCATTTAATGTTGCATATAAATTAAATTTAATATATTTCTAAATATTGTACAACAACCTTAAGTCAACAATAGTTCTGAACGAATTTTAATCACAGAATTTGGGCACGAATAATTTTATATAATATATGTTTGTAAATAAGCAGCAATAATTGCGCGCATATACATATCACTTAGTGTTTCGGACATTACATTAGTGATGGTAAAGTTATTATCGATTTCTTCAATTTTCACAGTACCGTGAATAGAAACAAAATTTCTCGCCGAGTTTGGTGTTCGAAGCTTTATATGCATTAACACTATTAGAGGCGAGGTGTATCAATTTTCACAACCTTTATAACCCGCTTCTCATTCCACTGACCTCTGTGTCGGATTTTTGTAACTCATTTGTGACTTATCACAATTTGACTTTTGTTGGGATGTGATTCAGATTACAACTTACCTTTGATTATCAAACTGTAAATTAATAGATAATTTAGCGCTTTTAACAATTATTTAATAGATGAATAATTAAAATTTACATACAGATTAATGAGCAAATAAAAGTGGTACATAAAGAGCTTAAGAAGATCGTTACACCGGATTTGATCCAGAAGTGATTCTTGAAGAAGAGTCACAAAATCTAGTATCTAAACATCCATACATGATAGCGCAATGCAATTTTAAAATATCTCTCGTATTACCATTAACGTAAAATAATATTTAATTAAATTTATTGATGTAAATTTAAATTTTAAATTCCATTATATAAAATTTTCAATGTCACGGTATTCAATATACTTCATTTATACTGGTCAATCTACATTTGGTTTGATGATTTGTTTACTTATTTGGATTTACACTGCTCGTTAGAACGTTGCAGGACGCAATTAATATTCGTTCATGGAAGCTCATAGAGACATTGTGAAGAGTGACCAAACTAAAGTCGATGCGCTCAATAAATTGTTAAAGAGCTTAATGTACTTTTAAAGGTAAAAATAAAATTTCTCTAGAAAGTTTTCTTAGCCATTTCATAAGGTTTGGATGGATTGGAGGCTTTCTTCAGGAAAAAGTTACCCACAACACTCCGAAGCTAGAGCAACTGGTGGAGCCATTTAATAAATACACACTAACCGCAACGCAGATACAGTGCCTAGTTTGCACATATACACCGTTGTGGAAATTTTGAATTAAAAAGAAGTAAGGAAGGGCTAAGTTCGGATGTAACCAAACATTTATACTCTCAAAGGCAAATATTTAACTTTATCTAAAATTATATCAATGATAAAATGTTTAAGCACAACTCTTCGTAAATTTACGCCTTAGTGAAATAAGAAGTGTTGTAGTAATTTTACGAACTGAGCTGAATCGCAAATTCGGTCAAATTGAATACAACTCACATGCGCTACTAAAGATACCAGGTTCAAAAATATAATTTTCGAGATTCGATTGCTGCGGTCAAGCTATATTAAAACGAAATCTCATTAAAGGATACATTAAAATTATCCAGCAATCTGAAGTGACGGAAAATTCCCAATTCGGGAGATATATTTATCTGTCTTCACCATCTATGAAAAACAATCGTAAGAATGGGAATATATTCGTACTATTTCCTCAGTTGTATAAGCAAGCACGTATCTTATCCTTTTGGGTCGTTTGTTCCTTGCGAGACTTTCTCTAAAACTGATGCAATGATATGAAACTCCAGAAACCGCTGTCAAAATGTACGGTGAGTGTCATTGAAAATCGTAAGAGCACACTTTTAAGTACTTTATAGTCCAGTTCCAAAACTTCAAATAGTTCAATTTAATAGACTCTTAGCTGAGATGATCTAAATTCATTCATTACAAACTTTAAATAGTAATAACAAATAACAGTTAATTTTTCCCTTAGCTAAGTAATATTCGCCAGTAAAAATTGCACAGGGGTATTTTTACTTTCAATGGAAAAATTATCAAAAATGAATTTCAATACTGAGGAAAACCTCTGTTAGTTTCAGCAGCTTGAACACGTTTGGGCATCACCTAACTTTTTAAATAATATGAGATATATTTCCTCCATTCCTTGGAGCGCTTTTGGAAATGTTACAAATTGCGAGCTCACCTCTGCCACTGGACCATCGGTTGCATATTTTCGATCCATCGCTGTATTGTAAATTTAGCATCCATGAATAAAACATCATTCCAGAAGTCAGCTCTGCTTAAGATAGGTTTGCAAATTCAAGACGAATCTTTCCGTTCCGCTCGTTAATTAAAGGCCACTCTATCGTGGAAATAATTTTTTCTAAGCACTCTCTGAATAGTTGAATAACTTACTTAATTTTTTTAAAATAAAATTTAAGGTCTGTGGCAATTAGGGACGGAAATGGTTGGATTCTCCTTAACTTTCCTTATGATCCATCGTTCGTCAGTCGCAGTCAGCTTCTACTTTTTTGCCTTATTTGCCACCCGATTTCCATTTTTATATCTTGCAATAATATACTGAACAGTACTTCGACTCCGATTTATTATTATGGTGCTTTCTCCATACCATTTACCGTTATTATAATGATTAATCACCATATCGCGTATATCAATAGTCGTTTTTTTCATTTTTCCAAAGTCTGTATATATTTTATAAAAATTTTACTTCAAAGACCATTCGAATACAAGATATAAACCGATTTATATCAATACTTTCCAATTTCTTACTTTTGTTTCGGGGAATACCCGAATTTCTCAAATCATCAGTCAGCTGTACGATTTTCAGTGACACATAAAAAGGGGAATAATTTACAAAAATAATTTCCAACGCATTGTGGTCTTAACTCTATTACAAATGAAAACAACGATGCAACAAACTCAGATGAGTCGTTTTACTCGCCACCCCTGACGTTCGGAACGCCTTCCACAGCGCTGGATGGGAAAACATGATTGAAGCATTAGAGGAAACCTTTAAAATACCCACATATCTCAGCATAATGGTGAGGAGCTATTTGAAAGACAGGGTTTTGCTGTATAAAACTTCTGAAGGACCACGACACTTGAAGGACACGTGCGGAGCTGCGCAGGGATCAATCCTCGGCCCAGACCTCTGGAACGTTAGTTACGACGGCATATTAAGCCTCGATATGCCCGACGATACTTATCTAGTTGGCTACCCAGACGACATCACCGCGATAATCACTGCGAGAGACACCGAAGATATCTATAATAAACATGAAGACAACAACAGAAACATTAAGAACACAAATGGTTGTCAACTATCTGGGTAAGAATAGACTCCAGGCTTACCTACTGGACACAAATTCAACACGCTGCGGAAAAAGCGTCCATAATAACTAGTCAATTGAGCAGGCTGACGTCTGATATCGGAGGACCGAGACAGGAAAAACGGAAACTTTTGATATCGACAACAGTAAATGTCTTGCTCTACGAATCCCTCGAAAAAGTGTCGGCGTATCGGACAGTCTCGGGCGAAGCTGTATATGTAATAAGCGGACACACGCCCATCGACTTATTAGCATTTGGACGAAAGAAAATGTGGACGTTGAAGAAACAAGGAACAGATGCTGCCGCTACAAAAGAGGAAATAAAGACCGACACCTTGGAACAATGGCAAGTTCGCTGGGAGTAAGGACGCCACGGCAGATGGACGGCCAGGTTAACCCGAAACATAAAATAATGGTCTAACAGGAAACATGGTGAGGTAAAATGGGAAAAGTCGAAGAGCCGTTCTGTATATACAACGACGCGATCGAGGACGACGCTGAACACACATTTTTTAAATGCACACGCTGGCAAACGCAGCGGATAACATCATACTATCATGCTTCAAAACGAGGAAAACTGGAAGAACGTTAAAAATTATATAGAAAACGTACTACGGATTAAAAAACGGGACCTGGACGCAGGTCCTTGTCATTACATGTAAATCTTAAGACGAGAAATATGGAACGCCACCCTGAAGTAATGCGAAAGCGGTTCCAGGGTGGGCGACGGTTCCCTAGAGGAGAGTTTTTTAGTAACCTGTATAACAATGCGGAAGGCATTTTTCTCAACCTCCGGCGAAAAAAAAATATCGTGTCATACATAGTTACTAGTGGTTCAAACCTCTTTACAAGACCGATATAACCAATTCACTACTACGCTCGTAAAGTTTTACGTCTTACAGCACTACATAACCAGATCTAACTTTTTGTTCTTAAATGAAAAAAATATGTTGTTAGAAGAGCAACATCTATGAAACTTGACAGTTGAATGTATAAAAAGAGATGTACACATAGACAATGAATTTGTTAAAAATTGCAGCCATTGAATCTGCCATTTAAAGAAAAATTTGAAGAGCGTCCGGTAAGTTGTGACTTTTTCTTTATTGAAAATTTTCATAAATGTTTATTAAATTAAACTCTTTTTAAAACAGGAAAGAATCAACCGAAGACCATTGTGATAGAACATAAATGATAATAATTTTACAAAGAGTTTATATGTACATACATATATGAAAAGTTTATGGTGAAAAACCAATTTGGTAAGTATGGTTATGTTAAAAGTTTTACAATATAATATCTTATGTATAATATACTAGGATAATATATTATATACTAAAACAATATGAATCTCTTTGGGTTTATTGATTGCGAGTTGATTGGATTGCAGTTGCATTCAACTAATACTAAAATGCCGGCAAAACAGGTATGTACATTGTAGGGCTTTGTTAATTAATTTTTTTTAGATTTTGAAATAAGTCAATGGGTTCGTTTCCATTATTTCTGCCACAAGTGTAAATACTGTAAAGTTAAAGAATCGTATAAAATTTAAAATTGTGTTATATCGGAAGTAGGCGTGGTTGTTGTGTACGAAGGCTTAGATAATGTTGTGCACCTAATTTAGTGCAAATTGGTAGAGTAATTTCTTAGATATAGGCTTTAATCTTAAGGTGGGCGGTGCCACGAATATTTTTTCATAGAGTGTAGTTCCATCAACCAACTAGTTATCTCCGCCATGTGTCTCCCATTGTCACTTCTCAACTAGCAAACATAACGGAGTAGGAATAAAAATAAGTCGAGTTATTCTCATTAACTCAAGTGAATTTCATTCTCATAGCGAATGTAAAATTATTTCTTTGTGCATCTCGAAAACGGCCAAAGCCGTTCATGAACGAAACAGCGCTTGATAGTGATATAAACGCACTAAAAACTACGCTCATCGAATTTTTTGAATTGTGTAATCGTGCAAATGTTTTTGGTGCCTTTGCAGAAATATTCCTATTTAAAAGTAGCTTACTATTTTACATTGAATCAATCGAAAAAATGGATACCCCTCTAGCAAGGTACACCAGTTGATGCATACTCCGGTTTATCCAACTCAAATAATTTGGGTCGATTGTATGGTATATAATTAATCCAGGGCAGACTAGATGCTTTTATCCGCGACTGTTGTTGGTTAATGTCACCAGACCATTAACATTTGGTTGTATGCATTAATTCATGCGGTTTATTTTTCGAAAATTGAGACTTTATTGTGAAAAATTTGTTATACATTTAATGTTCAAAGTATTGTCCATCGGAAGCTACGATGTTTGCCCATCTTTTTGGCAGTTTGTGGATCCCATCCCAAAAGAACTTCTCCGGCATGGAGGTCAAGAAAGAATCGAGCCAATTTCGGATACCCTGTTCTGAAGTGAAGCGTACTCCGGTGAGGACATTCTGCATTGATCTGAACAAGTGGTAATCGGAAGGTGCTATGCCTGAGCTGTAAGGCGGGTGAGGTAGAACTTTCCACCCACAGTTTTAACTGGCCTTGCAACATGTGGCCGAGCGTTGTCATGATGAAAAGTTATTGATTCGTGTCTGGTCGTTTTTCCGAGATGGTCTTTTTCAAACGAATCAATTGTTTTCGGTAGAGGTCCGCATTGATCGTCTGACCCGATTTCAATAGCTCATAATAGAGCACACCCTTGTGGTGCCACCAAATACATAGCATAACCTTGACATTTTGGTGGCGTTGAAGCAACATTTCCGACATGTAGAATCGACGTTCGACGTCTCTTGGCTTTAATTCATAACGCACCCAATTTCCAAGCTTCTGGATGAATCCTAATGATTTTAATCGTCTGGAAACGGTTGCTTGATCAACTCCTAATACTTTTGCAAGTTCTTCTTGCGTCTGGCATGCATCTGCGTCGAGCAATGGCTCCAATTCTGCGTCTTGAAATTTTTTTGGCTGTCCGGGTCGTTCTCCGTCGGGTAAGTCGAAATTGCCACTTTTAAACCGTGCAAACCACTTTTGGCACGTTCGTTCGGCTAAAGCATGGTCACCATAAACGTCCAGTAAAATACGATGGCTTTCGGTAGCACTTTTCTTCATGTTAAAGTAATGATGAAGAACTCCCCGCAAAAACACTTTATCTGGTACAAATTTCGACATTTTCAAATGAATGAAACAAATTGTTGTTCACGCTAAAACAAATGACATCTACTGAAAACGACGTGAAATGACAGTACCTTTGAAATGAATATAGCCACAGATGAACACAACGCGAAATAATACTAGTAGAGCCCTCTCTTAGAAAACTGCACGAATTAATGCATACACCAATACGTAAAATAAATGGGCAAGTATCCAACGTATAAGGATGCATGCACTAAGCTCGCCAGAAGATACTTGCTGAAGCAGCATTATACTGCACAGGAACACAAATTTGTCTACTATTTGCTATAGTATCAACGACATGTTTCTCTCTCTCCTCTCTCTTGCGATTTATTATTTAACGGCAAACCGTTGCGCCTGGTCTTGTTACTAAGCCAAACGAGCATTGCATGTGTTAAGGTTTTTAGGGTCTAATATAATTTTCCTAATCTTAATGAAAGGATGAAAGAGATTCTCATAATTTAGGGTAACACAGTTCTCTCCTCTTTTCCGACCACTGATCTCTACGTATTTTTTCCGTCTCTATCACAGGATTCATTGACTACTCGGTTGATCTGCCGCTTATACTCAGATATACAATGAACATAACTGAAAACAAGTAAGGAAGGGCTAAGTTCGGATGTAACCGAACATTTTATACTATCGCAAAGTTAAATGGTATATTCGTTTGAGACTTCTTTATATATTTTAATAATTAGAAGTAGGAACTGTTGCCTTAGTTATTTACTTTTCACTCACAGTGAAAATAACTAGAGCAATTTGTAAACTAAATTTACTCAAATTATGAGAAATCGTTCTTGTGCTTTTTGTATACGCTTCTAATTGATTTTATATAGAATGCATTACAACTGTATTGAGAAGTATGAAAAGAAATCGTTTTTGGACAATGAATAACATTTTTTATTTATTATATCGATATTATTATACATGTTTAGTTTAAAAATAATAAATATTAACAACTTTAAAAATTATATTATTATATTAATTTGTATATAATATTTACACTATTAAACATAAATTTTTGTAGAGATTCTTATACATATATCCAAATTATATTTCTTTTTTCTTTATACTATTTAATTTATATCATATATTTATACAATAATATCAATATTATCAATCAACAGATATAATAAAATTTATAATATGTTTACACTAGATTATTTACATATTTCTTAAAATTGTCTTAAAACTAATGTCAAAATCTTATACATTCCAATTGATTTATATTTGAAAAATGAAGAATTATTACACAAGTCTGAAGATCTTTTTAGTTCGAAGTAGAGACACTGATAGCTGTGTACGTCTCAAAAGTAATTGCATTTAATTACGAAGGATCCATTTGAAAATGCCCAATCAATTTGTGTACCAAGGCAGTGCGTAGTTGAATATTCTACACAACAGGAACTAAAGTTTTTCTTGGAAGATTATACTGATCCCGTAGACATTAAATAAATGTTAAAATCTCCAACAAGTGTCGTACATTTATCAGATTGTAACTCAGAAGTAAGGACTTCCTGAGTTCTACAATTAATGTACGACAGGAGAAAGCTGAATTTATATAGAACCAGAATATTAATATTAAACAATAAACAAAACAGCTTAAACTTTGTCGTCTGGGCATTTTACAGCCTTGATTCTATGAGTGTTATGTATGCTTTTATGGCATATTATAATGCCCCGGTTTATGTCGTTGGTTGTCCGTGCTATCTATCTCAGCTCGTTAATTGGAGTAATCCAGTATATCAAAACTTCGCTAAGGATAACCCAAGTTTCTATACAAACATAAAATAATCTAAGATATCCAAACAGTCGCTTTTATACGCCAGTAATGAACAGACTCTGAACATTATGCGGAATAAAATTATGTCCTGATGTTCGGGAATCCATAAAATTGAATACATTGCGTAAAGCTGTTATGTGTTCAATCCAGTTCCCAACACGGGATCCGATTCAGAAAATTTAGATGAGAATAAATTTCCATACGAATGACCTTCAGAAGTAACACTACAAGCGTTCCGGTATTGAAGCCTAGTATTCTGGGTCGAGTATGAAATTACAACTTATTATATGTGGCACCCTGACTTTACAGGAATAGTTACAATACGTAACTGAACGAAGGGCTG